AACAAGCACTTTACACAGAAAGCTATATATGGGACAACACACATGGTGTCGGGGCTAGTACTACCTTGATTTCCTTGTCTTTCCATGCTCATTACTCAGCCAGTATACATTTTCTTCCAAAATTGTTTGGCACATGTCATTTATTTGTAATCTTGAACATTCAGTGTAAGTTTCGTTTGATTCTGTGAGAATTAATTTTCTTTTTTTACCAGAACTGGAGTTTATCTTTAAGCAACACGCTATAATTATCTGAATATTCTTTACTTACAAGGCAGGGTCGTAGAATGAACATACGAACGATGCATTCTCGGGCTTGGTCGTCTGCAAATAAAAAGATAACACGACGGTTTAATCGTCAAAAAACGGGTATTATAGAACGACTGAAGTCTATCGACCTGACGCCCTGTTTGAAAGATAATTACCGTACATACTGTACAACATAAATAACACATTTTTTAGATATTCATAAATGATGGGTAATACATTTATTTTTCATCATTAAATAGCAAACAAAGCATATTAGCATATTGAATTAAAATAATATTAGACCTGCGAAATTACAAGTAAATATAGTAAATAATAAAGGGAGGTTCTATTTCCAACTATTTTCGACAAAATGATTTTTGGTTTGTAAAATATTACTTGTGTAAGGAACATATTTTAGATGAAACAAAGGCACCGCACCTAAGGCTGATTTTCCTTGTTCATATTAACACAGTAATTAAAAAGACATGATGCGAAGTTACGAACATCCGGATAATGAGGTATGGTGAAAGTGATATTCTCCTCCAGTGACGTCACATCGAACCCAGTAGTTTGAAGATTGAGCACCTGTGACGTCATATTGCTTTTTATCGACGTCCTAGAAAAATAACAATTGATAGCAGTTTGCTGATTTGAGGTACTTTGTTATTGTGGTGTGACTATTTTATTAGGGTCTCGGATTACAGTACAACCAGTAAAACAATACATGGTGATTGAATAATCCAGGAATGGTATTTCCAAGATATTTATGTTGGCCTCTGACTGGCGATGCTCATATCAACAACAGAGAACTATTAACGTCCTGAGACGCCTACACACCAACGGTAGTCGCCGGGCAGAATCATTGATCAGGAGAGATTGGCCGAACCCGGTTCAAGTTGGGCACAATATGGCGAATATTGCTTTGTTTAGCAAACACAACAAAAGAATAGACGCCACGTAAATCAACCGAAGTAAGATAGCCAAACTAAACTGTGTTTAGAAGTCTCTTGCAGTCGCCAAAGTACAAAGTCCTCATTATGAAAGTGATCCATACGTCACGTACCAGACATAAATATGCATAATTAAAACAGAGTAATGCATATGCATGACCAAGGAAATGGGAAATCAAAACACACTAGAGCTGGAGACAAAAACAGCCCAGTAGAATACATGGATATTGGAACCAGGTAATGTAGCGGGCAAATAGATCCTGTACAATACCGTAGCAAAATGTATACCATTTACAGATATTTTAATATCTATAATTTGATCGAGAGTGTACGGGTTTTCCCATCTTCCACTGAATCTATGAAAGACTCATTATTTCGTTTAATTTCTTGATATTTACAAAATTTCATAGAACTTGTTAATTACGATTATTTTGATGCTCGCTACTTACTTATTCTTCTGAGTTAGTGTCTGGGGTAGAAACGACGCAGTAGATCCCTTCAAGAGCGCTATACTGACTCGAGATCCTAAAATGTGTAAAAGGTCCAAAGAAGAAAAGTAATGTGATTGTAAGGATGAACAACGAGAAGGAAATATTATAGCCTAAGCTTGAAAGTTCACGACCAATATAACAAGGGATCAGTCATGAATGATTATAAACTATAAGTCTACCTTTCCTTTCTCCGTGGTGACAGTCCTATCAACAGATTTATCTATTTATTTATTTATTTTTTTTCAAACAAATTATCAGGGTTGTTCCATTCAGTGCCACAGAGAGCTTGCTGTAAGAAAATACGACTAATTTTTTTTATTTTTTTATTAATAATCCTTGGTAATAATAGCCTACTATTATATTTTTAACGTGTTTCAAACACTAAATCAATTCATTCATTTATTGATTAATCAACTAATCGTAAAATTAATTAATTAAACATTTAAAGTGTTTGAAAGCAAATCCTTTAAGCTCATTGTAAATGAGACGTCATTTCCGTGGCGCAGGACTGTGTCAGCAATTAACGCGGTCTCGTCACGTCATTAGAGAGTGACGTTGAATGATAATAAATGCTGAAGAAATAACGCAAGCATTTCTTGGAATTACGGGCGTATGCGCAAAAACAACCTTTTTGGACCGACGTGGCGCAAGTATAATCCCAAGGCACTCGAGATGACGCCCCGCGTGCAACGGGCGATAACCATGATAGGGAGAAGATTGTGTTCTGGAATAGGGTTTAAAGATGTGAGACCTTTCTCGTCCTCTTTCATATCATTATGGAGGAATGTATATCAGAAACGGCCCTGAATTCAAAGTGTGACAAGAAATAGCTCATGTGTTTCGACCAAACACCCATGCCAGATGTTTGTATAGTACAAAGTACATTGTATAGTACAGGCGCGTACGCAGGATTTTTTCAAGGGGGGGGTTTTAACATTTATAAATCGGTCCGAAAATTTCGCAACGACTCAGCCAGCCGCTGAATAAGCGGGGGGGGGGGGGGGGGGGGGGGGGGGGGGGGGGGGGGGGGGGGGGGGGGGGGGGGGGGGGGGGGGGGGGGGGGGGGGGGGGGGGGGGGGGGGGTGGGGGGGGGGGGGGGGGGGGGGGG